CAAGGAGTAGACATTTACTAAGCGGCTAGTCTAATAAACTGAAGTGGAGTAGAAGGTAGAATGCCAATGTGTATGTTGTATCAATAGTACTAGGTGCGTCTCTATAGGAGCAGCCATTTTGATTATAGATGGTTTTCAAAGTATTAAAAACTTAACAAATATTACAATAACTAAAATATTCACTTTTTAACATAACAAAGCATTGATAATTCTATCTTCTTCTAATCAAATCCTATATGTTTGTATATCTACAGACCGCCATTTTTAAAGGGCCATGGTCACGTGTTTTGGACAGCTTAATTGGGCCAGTCTCGGATTGATGGTATTCATTATAGATAGATAACATATAGATAGATAAACCATTTAAATGCGCGGCACTGGTAACAAGTTGTTAGTTCTTAAGCATACTATTTGGAACCACCGTCGCATACTATACAGTTTGCTGATTGACTTGATAGTTAGAGGCAGCATAAAAGAAGAAAATAAAAAGAAGAGTGTCTGCCCATATCTTTAAAACTGTTTATCTGGACAATTTCGCAATTTTTTACAAAATCTTTAAAAGAAAATACTTATAATTGATTTTAACTTTGTAACTTTTTCATATGTCACGTGATATACCTCATAATTGTGTTTTCATAAATACATTAAAATATTTGAAACATAAGTATAGTCTATTGGGCCTTTTATTCCGCTGCACAAAATGTTTGTTGGGTATTTCAGCTTAGATAGCAAGTGGGTACTAAATAATAATTTGTTAATAAATCCATACACTCTTAAAGCTTCACATACTTTGAGAAGGTTAATTTAACATCAAAAATTAAACCTAAGTCGCCAATAGTAAGGCGTATCTCTAACTTCATATGATAATTGAATATTTACTCTTTTCCTTTGAACGTTTGGGTGTAACATACAGCGGAAATTCCTCTGGAGCTTGTTGCAGTCATTAGTATTCTTTTAAAAACTACTTAACTTGTGGTTGATATGTCATAATAAAAATAATAAAATTACAAATGATTTATACCCGCGACCGAAGCATTTTTTTTTATATAAAGCAAACTATATCCTTGTATATAAATGTCTTATTTATTTCAATCCATATTCTGTTATTTAAGAAAATATATTATCTGTTTTCATTCTGTCATTTTCCATTGATCCAAAAAACACACGGAAGGGTGACAAATAAGTCGTAAAAACAAACTCATTCATGCAAAATAATACTCTTCCGAAAAAAACCACATCATAAACCACTTTAAATTCACTGCGTATATTTCTTCACCTGAAAATATAATAGAACATCTACGTCAGACGGAATGAGAATATAAAAAAACAAAGTTATGATAAAATAAAATAATATCGAGTTAGTATCTAGAATGTAGAAAGAATTTTCTATAAATAAAGAATCCATATTCACTTGTTGTTAGGTTAATATTTATTTGTAATAATTATAAACTTTACAAAATGTTACATTTTGATTGTAAATCCTGATTGCTTCACCCTGTAACATTTAATATATAGCTCCAAAGTTCACTCATTTGTTATGCGAAAATTCTAGTATAAAAATATTGTATACCATTTTTATTTTTTGATATACATAAAGCATTGTGAGCGCAGCCTAATTTATAGGTTACGTATGAGATAAAGGAAGGGTTTTCCTGTAGCTCGATGATATGCTTTTGTCGCAAAATGGGCACTTTTATCATAGCAACATATCCTGCCCTTTCCAGCAGTGAAAAGGGCTTTTTTTAAGTTTCTGTTTTGGGAGACATACGTAAATGTACTAAATAATGCCACAAGAGGTTCTATACAAAGAGTGTCTCCCAGGAAACCGACATATCAAATTATAGAGATGATTTGATGTAACTAAATTACCATTATTAGTCCCAAAGCATTCATTTTACTTCTGAACTTTGCTTAAAAGAAGTGAAAAGTATGGAGTCCATCGATCTTCATATTAAATTTTGTTCTAAGAACACAAAATTTTGATATAGTAAAGTTTCCTATGGATTAATACAAATGCAGATGATTACTGGATTATTGAAAAATTTTATAGAACAATTGTACATTTAAAACTAACAAAAATCTTTAGTTGTTCTACAAAGCTCTATGACCTGAGTATTTGTATCATTTGTAGGTACTACAAATATTTGAAATATTTTACTTTCTTAAAAAATAAATAACAGCTCTATAAATAGAAAGCTGTTATATAAATAAATTGTTTCTTTGTTTGTTGAAATTAGTCAACAGTCAAATGCTTCTGTAATTACTAATTACCTACTGAATTGAAACAAAATCTTTATTTTGTCGTCAAGAGTAAAGCTTCGAAACAAAATTAAATGATTTTCGTTTCAGGAATCTCGTTAAATTCACTCCACGTTTTCGAGATTATTTCTCGAAGCGTTTTTGGTCTTTATAAATATTTTCATTTCCAGGAAAGCAAATAACAAATAAATATACTGATCCTATTACTCTTAACAAGGGATATATTTATTAGCAACGCACAGAAAAAGATTTGCTTCAGGTGGGATGTTAATTATCTTTTATGTTTTGTTCTTCAGCTAGCAAACTTTTTAAGAAAAAAAAAAGAATTGTTTAAAGCAATTAGGTCTTGACTATAAGAAGCAAGAGTAAAAATAACATGAAAGTTTCCCAGTTTATTATACAAATGAATCAAAATGTACAATTATTTTTCTGCAAATAATATGTATTAGTAATAAAATTTAAAATGTTTAATTGGATCAAAAATGGCTACTATGCCTTTAATATTAAACGAACATATGTTACAGTTTACTCTATTTACTTTTTCCTATTCAATATCTTGACTTTTTCTCTATTAATATTTTAAATCCGAAATCTACACTATGTGGATATGTCACAATCAAAAATAAAAAAATTCAAATTCAAAACATCAATTATTCCAGCCCTATCCCACTAATTTTTAATTATGATTCTGTGAATAGTGAATTTATTTAATTATACTTATATTTTCACTTTACCTACTGTAAACCAAAATAAAATGAAAATGAAAATTTATATTGTTAAATAATAATTATTTTGGAGTCTGTTAACCTAGATTTGCCAATAAAATTTTAATATATTCCGCATAAATAACCCCATTATTAAATCCCGACGGGGCTTTATTATAATATATTCTATTTATTTACAGATGCTGCAGAATATCTAATTTCAACATACGGTGGAGCCGCGAACTTCTGGAGTATAATGTAAGTGAAGTTGAATTTTCATCATCTTTATTGTCGACATTTATTTTGATATTTTTTATTGGAAGTATTACATAATTAAAAAATAAAACATATGTAGTTTTTGTATATAAGCCTCATTATTTATTATTGTACATGTACATACTTGAAATTGTAGGTTTTCGTTTTTGGAATTTTTCAAATATTAATGTGTCAACAAAAAACCTATTTCTACAAAAGAATTCAAAGATATCGGGATTTATAATATAAATTGGCATCATTGCTTATATCAGTCAACGCTTTGACCTAACCTTCAGCATTGTATGAAGAACTAATAGTAGTCTCACCTTATGGAAGTTACATTGGAGCGAAATGGATACTACCAATAGATGGCGCTAGTGAATTTGGATAAGTAGATATTAATTACTGTTTTAAAATTAGAATTAAAATCAAAATATTTAGTAGTGTGTATCCAAAAAAATATATGAATTTGGCTAAACAGTAACCTTTATTTCTAAAAACAGGAGGACAAGGTTACTTAAAAAATGTATTTATAATAAATATTTACCACCATCAAATCCCAGACCTGGACACAATTTTTTTTTTTAGCAATACGGGAGAAGCAGAAGTGACATTTTTACAAATGAAATTAATTTCAACAAATACTTGTTATTTTCGGTATATTTCTCCTTTAGACACACACATTTTTAGTGACATTGTCAAAAGATTTAAATAAAATTACCGGACCATATAATATTCTATTAAAATTTGATGATCCCGAGTGGCCATAGCAAAAAGACGAAATTTGAGCATGAAGATTTAGATGTCATTAACGTAAAATTAATGTTTTGAAATTAATTTAAGTTTTACCAGTTTAGAAAATAAAATTAATTAATAAAAAAAAAAGTGTCTACTCGTGGGTTTGCACTCGGAACCCTTCGATTTATAGACGAGTACTCTAAATTTTCGTTATGAAGACTTAAGAAAAACTTTTACTTTTTTAACGCTGATAATCAGATTGCTTTTAGTTTCATTAAAATCTCAGTTTATTTTTAAATATAAACGAATATCTTGTGGAATGCTATTATTTATTGATTCTTCACAAGAATCACTTATTTTTAATTATATTTAATCTCAATAACTAAAAACATTTGTATTGATAATCTGACGGAATTGTCACTTATAAAGTTCTAACATCTGACGTAGAGGGCGTATCTAACCAGTAAATAAAATCGTTAGTTCATGATTGTACCAATAGATGTCGGGCGATTATCCTACTATAGTTCTTTATACAATGACTTCAGTTCCGGAAACACCTAGCACATTATTTAGAGAAAATAGTTTTGAGTAAAATACTTTAATAAATTGTGTTAAACGCTGTTTGTGCGCTGCCAGCTTAAATATTGATCCCAAAATAAAAATCTATCCCAAATATGGAAATTTAGACGGTGTTCTGATATCCAAATGGTGGTATAATAAGCCAGTAAGGCTGCATTGTCATCATGCGGAGCCTGATTGAGGAGAACTAGAGGCTGAAACTCAAGCCTGATGAGGGAAGCCTGCTGAAACCCCTCAAGAGGGAGCAGCTTGAAAGAGTGAAAAAATAACTCATCTGGAAAATTACAGTCACAGCAAGAAGAGTTCAAAATAAAGGCAGTACCAATTTCTGAGTAAATTGGTACTTGTTTTTAATAAATACTCTTAAGGATTTGTCAATGTTGAGATTTTTAAGGAAATAAAAACATACATGATAGAAATATTCTTGTAATATACATCATCATACAGTAAATTTCACATACAATAAATAAATTTTGTTAGAGTGTATTCTTAAAATTAATAAAATCAGTCATTAAAGTTATACATATTTTTTTTGTATTTAAATAATTTTTTTTAAAAAATTTCACCAAACTTGGGTATTACACCGTATCACATTAACAAGCCATCACATAATTTGAAAGCACTCGGTGAGTAAATTCTTCAAAACAGAGAAAATCATTTAATTATTTAGATAATCATGTCTATTTTGCTTATTGCTACTACAACATTATGGTCAACGAGAAAAAGAAAATACACCTGAATTACCTATATGTTAATATGTTTATATTAATTTTATAAAGTACTATATTTGTTTAATTGCAGCTTTTATTCATGTTCAAGTTGATACAATAATTGTCAAATTGAGGCTGGGAAAAGAATACTGTGTCAAATTTTTCGCAATAACATACACAACAATTTATAAACAGTATAAACACTTAAAATAGTATCAATAAAAATTCTGATTCAGAATACTAAACAGGGCATTATAATTGATTATTATAAAACAGAAATTTCAAGGATTATATCTCCTTTCTATTAGTCACAGATTTGGCAAACAAATGGATTTGGCTCATTCAGACAGAAATGTTTAATTCTGCATTTCACAATACATTTCTAAGCTTATTAAATCTAGATTCGATATGTAGATTAGGTCCGTTATAGAGTATTTTTGGTAACAGTGGCAAATGGATATATGGGTGCCCTTTATGAGACAAGATGCGAGAAGTTTCAGGTATTGTAAATAGTCTTAGAGGAAGTTAGTTACAATTAAAAGATGTAGTAATATGTAGTAATTAAAAAATTAATATTTAAATTATCTGCGGTAATTCAAAATGATTTTCGTCGTTATTAGCCTGTTCCGTGGTACAATTAAACAAAGATCTGATACTCTTATTAAAATTGCTATCACATTTACACAATATACCAAGCAGAACTAATGAATAACTGAATCCAACGAAAATAGAGATTTGATATAAAAGATAAGGTGTTATCTCCTCGTTTCGTCTACCTGATATTTTAAAGTTCATATCTATTAACAGTAACGAGACGTTTAAAAACCAACATACGAAAAAAGGGAATACCACCCTGAATTCTAATTTGCTCTGTTCTAGTATTTCAGCAAAAGGTTTCAGTTGCGTTAATCTTAATACATAAATAATAATCACAATGATTAAACTAACGAAGTATGTAATTACGTAAACAGCAATGCTGATGTTTAGCATAAATCTATGAAACGTGCATACTGACAGTGTATAAAAAATGAAGATGATTATAACAAACCAGACTATAAAAGATTTACCGAATCTGAATGAAGAATTTTTCTGGGGGTCAAAAACGAGGATGTACCAATCTATAATGAGGACGCAAATAAAAAGTTCATTGCCAGTTATAAAAATAAAGTATGTATAGATGTAAATTGTTTCTTCCCATGAACATGTAAATTTAACTTTAGGATTTAACAATAGTATATTATAAATATGTAATACAGTTAAAATGTTACAAATGCACAAGTGCGCTACGTATGTGTAAGGTCTGGAATGTAACGTTTTTCTTTTGAATATAGTGAATACTATTAAAATATCCGCTGTCACGCATATGATTAGAACTATGACGGCGATGATGAGGACTTCTTTTGGAAAATGGTAAACTACTCCTTTAGGTCCGTAATCGGTAATTGTTTTGAAGAAGAATTTTGGCTTCTCATTGTCCATCACCAGTTGATCATTTATTATCTGAAACAAAATTTTGAAGTCACTTTTTATTCACTTCATCACGATCATCAAAACCCGGCAAATAGAAAATCAATTTTTTCTACGAACTCTTACAAAAAGACATCTTTCGCCACAGGATACTTTCAGCGAAAACTTGATTTCCGTCACTAGTGAGAAAAAATCCCATAACGTTTAGTCTCTAGTGACGAAAGTAAGTTGTTACATATTTTCATATATCAGTCGCCTCGTATAATATTTTGGCAGCTTATAATTATTAATAATGAAATAAAAAGATGCTCATTAAATTCTATATGCGTTTTTACCTAAACTTTAATGAATTAAAGATAAAATAAAAATGTATAAAAATAGTGCAAATTAAACCAATCTACATCTAGTTTCCTGGTCTTCATTTGTTTATTTGAAGTTTTGTCACTTTTGAGAACTGTCAGTTTCATTTCGTCCTAAATTTAACACATTTTCATGATGTCTGAGTCAGAAAGCGATTGTACTCCCCCAGAAATTATTTTTAAATCTGAAGAAACCTCTTCAGATTTATTACCGGCCAAATCAAAAAAGAGATATGAAGAAATTTATATCAAATTTTTGGACTGGAGAGAAAAAAATAGTGTGAAATCATTTTCGGAAACTGTACTACTAGCATACTTTGGAGAAATATGTTCAAATTTTAAACCGTCGACGTTATGGTCCATTTATTCGATGCTAAGAACTACACTCTCTGTTAAAAATGATGTCGATATTAATAAATATCCAAAGTTACGTTCGCTTTTGAAAAGAAAATATGATGGTTTTAAAAGCCAAAAATCCAAAATTTGTTCGCCTGAAGACATAAAGACTTTCCTAAAGAATGCACCTGACTATAAATATTTAATAACAAAGGTAACGGAATTATTATTTTTATTTTAACAAATACTTAATACATAACTACTAATATTTGTAGGTAGCATTAGTTCTTGGATTATCTGGCGCTTGTCATTGCCACGAACTAAAAGATTTAACAATAAGCGATGTAAAGGATACTGGAAGTATTCTGTTAGTTAAAATCCGTAATACAAAAACAATAGTTCCGCGTTCTTTTCATATTTCTGGACCCTTTTATGATATTTCTAAAAAATATATGAGCCTACGTCCCGCAAACATGGATCAAATTAATTCAAGATTCTTTATTAACTATCAGAATGGAAAGTGTAGCAGACAGGTTGTTGGAATTAATAAAATCAGTAAATTTCCTAACGAAATTGCTCAGTTTTTAACGCTTCCGAATCCTCAAGATTACACTGGGCACTGTTTCCGCAGAACATCCGCAACGCTATTAGTGGATGCAGAAGGTGACTTGCTTCCTTTATAAAAGCACGGTGGTTGGAAATCTAGTAGTGTTGCGGAAGGATATGTTGATGAATCCACGAACAGTAAAAACCAAATACAAACCAAAATTTTACAATCTGTACAAAATAAGGAAACTACTAGTTCATCCGATTATGGCGCATCATCATCATCTGAAATGACATTTAACAGTAGAACAAATATGTCGGCATCTACCTCAATAAATAAAAAGCTTGAGTGTGATACCCCCATAATTTTGAACAATTGTTCAAATATAACAATAAATCAATATTTAAATAATAAATAATATTTCTGAAATATTTAATTGTTGGTTAATTTTTTGTTATTCCTAACACAAAATAAAGCATTTGCTAACGTTTGTTTTTTTTTTTTTTTCATTTTAGTAGGTACCTACATGACATAATAGAGTTCGTAGAAAAAGTCTAGTGTTTTACTCGTCGAAAATCATTTTTTGAAGCTCGCGAACATTATGTAAATTGTTCTCTCGCTTCAAAAAATGTTATTCTCGTCACTCGTGAAACAATATACTATTACATTATTTATAAAAGTATTAATAATAAAAGTAAAATCGACTAATTTCCGATTAAGGAGGTCCTTTCGCCACCAATGTTAAATAAAAAATATTAGATTATGACTAAAATTAATTTTTTTCTAATAGTAGATGTCCTTATTTATCTAATTTTTTTTAAAAATGTGTGTGTTTGTACAGTGTCTTATGAGAAAGTAAGACTTCAACAACAATTTTCGAATTATAATTAATTTTACTATTATTTATTGATTAGATGGAGTAGAAAAAAACTAAAAATAAGGTTTTTGAAATATTTAGGTTTTGTTTTTTACAATAAAATATATAGGTTACCGTGGAATTTATTGAGAAATTATTATTAAAAAATCACAAAAAATTTTCAACTAGGTTACTTGAGACTTATTAATTAGTTCAACTTTTAATACACAAGTTCAGTTTCATATTTAGATTATTTAATTATGTATCTTTATTTTAGAGTTTTTTCAAAAAAGGTATAGGAAAAAGATGTTTATTTTACCGATTTCTCTATACAATTAAATAAATTCACCCTGTATATGTACTCCAGTCAATAGGAGCCTCTTTTAAAAAATGCCCAATATGTAAAAATCAATGGAGATAAAAATTTAAACTAGAAATATCGAAAAGAGAGTACAATTTTCTATATTCAATTTAGAATGAAATGTATATTTAATTGAAAGGAGAGGCATAAAAAGAGATAAAAAATTGAAACTAAAACAGTCCCAAGGAGAATACAATATAGAGTATTCCCTAATATCTATTTAAAATGAAATATAATTTTTATTTAAGGGAAAGACATAAAAAAAAAACAAATTTTGAAAAGTGCCCAATAAGTAAAAACTAATAAGGATAAAAAATTGAAATTAGAAATATCGAAAAGAAAATACAATTTTCTACATTATAGAGTATTCATATCATCGATTTAGAATGAAATGAAATTTTAATTAAAGGGAGAGATACATAAAAAACAAATGAAAATTTGGAAAAAGCCAATTATATAAAAACGAATAGAGATAAAAAATTTAAATTAGAATTATCGAAAAGAGAATACAGTTTTATACAATAGGTATAGAGTACTCTTAACTTCTTAGTTTTGCTCTTACATCATGCGCTTAATAAACATTAGAAAGTTGTAATTTTTGATTAGTACCGTTAAAATGTCTCAAAACAGAATACAATTTTATACAATATAGAGTATTCTTAATATAGATTTAGAATAAAATGTCTGAATTTTTAATGTGTTAAATTACTTGATGTCCCCATCAAGTATCCATGTGCCCAATCCCATCCTATAACTAGAGTTAAAGTTAGGAATCCCTAATTCTCTAAAATAGGTACCAAAACTCACCCTTAAATATTTTTGGAAGTTATTCGCTTATTCTGTTTAGTCAATATACATAATTACTTACTGTCATTTACAGGGTGATTCGATAAAAGTAGGTATTGTCACCGAACAAAAATAGCTGAAATACAGAAAAAAAATACTTACAGGGTGATCAGAGTTGAATTTGTAAGGAGAAAGTAATTGCATTGTAAATTGCGAGATGTTCATTAAGCAATTCATATTATCATATTTAGATTGTTTAATTCTATATCTTTCTTTAAATTTCATTTATTTTTTTTTTCTTAAGTATGATTCTGTGGCTTTTGGGACACATATGATAACTCCAAACACATTATATATTTTAACAAGATTATACCAAACAAAAATTTAATAAAGTGGGCTTATCAATATTTTATCAAACTAAAAGGAATTTATTAGCAGAGCTGGACTTAACATAGTTAGATCAAACGGAAATTTATAAAAAAATATTCATATTAGCGGAGTTTTAGATTTTTGGAGTTAACATATGTCTCCTAAATGCCACAGGATTATATTGTTGTGTTTTTTAATAAAAACTTTTTAGTGACCGATATAACCAAATAATTTTTATTTATTTCCAATATATCTTTATTTAATTCCATTAAATATACAAAATAAATTACAAAGAGACAAAATGTTTTAGAAATTGACGAGTTAACAGAGAAATCTAATTTCTTATGTTTTAGAATCTACGTTAGATTTAGAAACTTCTCTAAGTAATATGTTGTGGTTGGCATACGAGGAGAAATTTAATGAAGACAAATCCTCCCGTCATTTGTTTGTTTACCCTCTGTTCTTTACCCTCATTAATTTAATGTTATGTTTGTTATAGTCGCACATGTTGCCAACTATTTATAGTTTTTTCCCCATATTTTCAGCAACTGTAATGAACATCAACAATTATTTTACAAACACATTATTGAAGGTAGGCCTATTCAAAAAATATTTTTATATATTATGATAAGGATAAGAAATAATGATTTATATCGAAAGAAATTTTGGTAATCCATCTACCACAATTACAATTTTCTGCTTTGATGTCTTTGTTTTAAATTCTAATATTAATTATTAATAATTTTTACTAGATTAATAACAATGAATAACTGACTTCTGAGTTATTATTTTTGAAAATCATACATTATCAAAGAGCCTGCTGATGGTTAGTTAGCCGAAACTAGTTGCGGTTTTACGTTTAACAAATGACACATTGAATTAGTTACATTTATCATTATACAATTTAAAATGAGATAACTTAAACACATGTGGGCTGTGGCAATATAAATTTGATAGGTAAAGACCTACATAGTCACTGTTCAACGCCATAACTTTGTTAAGTTTAAAAAACGTTTTAAATACTCCTAATTACCAATTTACGAATAAGTATATTTTGTTTTCACATCATGTTCTTATCTTTGAGTCCTATATTCAATGAAACACTCCATTTTTCTCAGTTAACAATACATTTTACCAAAAATTTCATACCTCATAAATGATTTCATTTATACGGAAAATTTGTCTATTTTTAATAAATTATACAATGTATATTGGAATAAAATCTTTATTTTATACCTAATTGAAAATTATATTCACATCTAAGCATTTATTTTATGTTTATAATTTTAAATAAATTTTCAACTGGCGCAGTCTATAGAATTGCAACTTCATACGAATTCTAATTTAAATAAAAAAATATATAATTCGTTGAAAGTAGAATGCTTTCTCTAAAATTAACTTACTCTAAATATCACATTAACGTAAAGTTAAATTAAAGATCTTACCCTACTAATTTATACTGCAACTTTCTAAATCTTGAGACGCACTTTCCCGCCAATCTATTCGCAAATAACAGCCATGTTCACAACTATGATAACTTTAACTCGACCTATTTATTTTTGATAACCTATTTAAGATTTTCTTGAGTCAGATTTAACCCTATTTGCAGGTTAAAATTGGTTTTTAACCAGCTACTATTTTGTACGTATTACATTTTGTGCCTACACAAACGCATTCAAGGTTAAAATAAAACTAATGGACTGACAAGATAACCCTACTGATTTTGTAATCGAATAGTGTACGTCAGAATAAAATCAATACCAGCAGGAGCAATCGAATGATTCATTCGGAAAGTTACCGACAATCTAAAGTAATTGTAGAAGTTGTTTTGAGTTTTAATTAAGTATTATTAACATTATATTTAGCTTGTTTTAACTTTTCGTCAGAATTTTCCTGTTTTCCAAGTTTAAAATGCAATAATTCAGATGAATACATTTCGATTCACTTTCCTGTAGATGAATCGAATGCAGAGGTATCCTTCGAACGATCGTTTGAATGGTTCATTCGTATGTAATCGAAGACATTTTCACAATAATAAATAGTGGGATTAACTAATATGTAATATTAAATTCGTTTTAAATAAATTCTAAGATTGACACAATTTAATTGTGCGATGTTTATTAATTTAAAAATAAAGTTTTTTGTTTTAAAAATAATAATAATTCTATTTTTGAGTGCTTGCATTTATAAATACATTTTTGATAGCCAAAAATAAAAAAAAAAATGGTTTTAAAAATTTAAACATTTTTATAAAATGAAACAAAATGATATTTTGAATAAAAAAAAAACATTTTTTCTACGTTCATGCAAAAAACAAAACTTTATTGAACTATATTTAGTGAAAAAACTGGTTCTTTATTGCACTAGTGCAATAAACATTTTATTGCACTCATCTGTCATTTTACTACAGCGTTTTATGATCATGACAAACATAAATATTCAAATCAACGTCAAATATTTAGTCCATTTTCATTTTCTGTGTTACGTTTTAAAAACAATTGCATATTTTATATTATTTTCAATCATTTAATAAATAAATTAATAAAAAAATGTATTTTATTAAAAATGTCGTTACAAATTATGAACACAAACGTAAATAAATGTCTCAAACAAAGGTACACGATCACGGCTACTATGATTTGGATAATACAACTGCAGTTCTATAAAACATTTTTTGGTTTTTGCATGAATGTAAAAAAAATATTGTATGCAACTTGTGCAAAATGTGTTTATTGCACTCGACGTGTTGCAATATACACTTACTTTTTGCACTTGTTGCATAAATAACTAATATGTTCAGAGTAACATCTGAAAAATCAGATCTTACTATTAACAATTTAATTACGATATATTGCATTTTCTTTTTAATAACAATTTTCTACATGTTTTTCATGTATTCCTAATTTTTAACCGACTTCAAAAAAAGATATTTTTTTTATGTATGTTCAGCGATAATTCTTTAACACGGTGGCCGATTTCAATAATTCTTTTTTTGCTAGATAGGGGCTACTTCAGGGGTAGTCCCATATAAATTTGGTCAAAATCTAATAATTGGGTCCATGAGAAAATCCTCAAACTCTTCATTTTTTATGTATGTTTAGCGATAAAGCTTTACCACCTTGTCCGATTTATATGGTTCTTTTTTTGTTAGTAAGGGGGTACCTCAGGGGTGGTCCCATATAAATTTGGTTAAGATGTGGTGATGGCATCTGCACGTTTTTGAAGTCGGTTTTTTTAATTTTTATTTTCTAATACTTGTTTGATTATTAATAAATTAAAATAATATTACCAAAACAACTTTTTATTATAAACAAGTTAGTTACAAAAATATGTCGGTCATTTTGATTTTGAAAATAATTTTACTTATTTCGAATATTCATCCAATTCATTGCTGATCTAATATTTCCACTAAATCCTGCTTATTCCCGATATTATTCTTATTATCATCATTCGTTTTAATATGAAACATCGAATTTAAACAAACTTTGAAATTCCTATCAGTAATATACAAAACAATAAGCAACACATTTGCATGACTATATCCTACTAACATTGATGTAAACAACAGGATGCTAATCGAAGCATATGAAAGATGTTGCCTTAGTACTATTGAAAACACTTCAACCAAAATATTAGGCAACCAAGTTATAAAATACGAGAATGCTAATTTTAATTCCAGTTTATTTTTTTCCACAATTATACTTGAGGTTTTTAATTTCACGCATCTTAATATAAATATTGCAAGTAAAAGAATGAAAATACATAAGTAGCTTATTTCAAAAGCTACAAAAGGAAGTAGAAATGATTTACGTGAAAAACACAATGAAGATGTAGTTATTAATAGTATTATTAACATTGCCCATATTAAAGATATAATAATTTTAAAACTATTTCTACATCTAACTGCACATCGTCTTTGATTGCAAAACGTACTAATGTACCAATCTATTATAATAACAGCTACAAAAATATGATTCCAGGTTAGGAAATTAAAAACGTTTTCATCCCAAATACACAAGATATTCCCGTTCGCCACTAAATCTAAACCTAGAGAGTCAAACATATATGGTAATGATGCGGTAATGAAAACATTGCACAAACACCAGTTCACAATGTACCAATGAGTTCTGGAATGCAGTATCTGATACCTAATCACTGTCAAAACTACCAGAATATTGGATGTGGTCGAAAATAGAGAAACCACTGCTGCCACGATGCGAATGAACAATGGAACTGTCACTGCATACAGAGTGCTAGTGTCGAACGAGGTTTCATTAGTTACGTTTAATCTTTCTAATTCCAATTCCATTATTTGCTGTTTATTTAATCTGAAAAGAATACATAAATCACTATTTATGTATTTAAATTCTTTGGAAGTACTTAAACAAATCCCAAAATGATCTCTAGGAAATAATGAATCCCGAAGTGTGAAAAAGTTTGGTAAAAAAATTTAAAAAATTCTGTCCACGGGAGGATTCGAACCCATATATTCGCTTTAACCATTCATCCATCAGAACATAAATCTCTTATTTTCATGTAAAATACGCTATTAAATCATTTACCTCTACATTTTGAACATTCTATTGTGTTCTTCTAATAAATCATTATATTTCATTGAAATTAAATTAAGTACTTACATTTTCTTATGGATAGGTGTGAACTAAGTACACTCGGTCCAGTATTTTCTTAATTTATAGAAAAAAAAATGGCACTTTAAAGCTATCAACCAAAAAAACTGCAAGCTGGAACTATTAACAGTGCTTGATCAAAGAAAATTACGTCCATTTGAGTAGAAAATATATTGAAGTAATATTTGTTAACAAGATAAAGCAATGGCGTCCTGCATACAATCTTGAATCAATAATAAAATACAATTATTTTTAAATTCTCAGGGATAATAAAACGAACAATAAATATTTACAAATGCTTTTTAAAAGGAAGAATTGTTAAAAATAAAGTTATTGTATTTAATTTGTTTCATTGACGTTGACTCAGGGCCGACAAGAGGGGGGGGGGCAGCCAAGACTAATTCCCGGGACTCGGGCTCAAGTGGGGGCCCGACAGCGGTATAAGGGGGGCCTGGCAGCATTGGTGAGGCCTTTTTTTATTTTTTAGAAGTTCGGCACAAGAGAGAGGACTTTTTTTAGAGATTTCACTGAGGATTGTTCAGTTATTTTTATTAATTCTTGTGCATGCATATATGTTTAAGTTAAGTTTGATATTGGGCTGAAGTGGTGATAATAATTAGTCCAAGATGAGGATTATTCAGTTATTTTTATTAATTCTTGTGCATGCATATATGTTTAAGTTAGGTTTGACTCTGCACTAGTCTGCACTGAAGTGGTGATAATAATTATTCCAGTTAATTTTTTCAATTGAAATTATTATAGGAACATTTTTATACCAATTTTTGAGACATTTTTCCAAAATGGATTTAGAGTTATAAACAATCTATCAGTTGTAATATGTGATAATATTTTATTAAATATTGTAATTATGTCAGGATTTTCTATTTTTTTATTAACCAATTACTATCGCAACACTTTTTTGAGTCACTTGGACATATTCTGGAAAATATTATATTCAATTCGACTAATTCAATGACCATTATTTAATTTTTTTCCAATAAAACCTAATACTTCACTGTGTCATCTTATCGAGAAGCAAATTCATAGTTAGCGATATTAAATAATCTTTTTAAAAAGCCTATCGAAGTATAAAAATGTGCAGAACCAAGTACATACATGGTTATTAAACCAAAAATAATCCAAAACTGTTGATAGACTTAATTTCCGACGTTTTGGCAAATATTTTTTATTTTTTCCAAATCTGATAGTTGATTAATTTTGAATTAATTGCAACTGGAGCTTTTGAGGTAGCTGCTACTAGTTTCGCTAGGTCTTTATTAACAATTGGTGAGGCATTTTGTAAAAATATACTTGTAATATTTTCTAAACGGATTGCAAATTAAATACTAAAAAGAAGTTGCCCAAGAATTGACTCCTGCGCAACACCTCGAGAAGGTTGTTTAACTCCCCCCACATTAGTTTCAATGCACTGTTGACTGTTGTAAAGATAATTTAGCAAAAGCATAATTTAAATATTTAAATAGAAAAATTAAACAAAATCATAGCAGTGCACTTTTGAGGTAAAATATCATTAATAGTATTAAGCAGTGCAGAACTATATCTATATACAGTTCTAAAATACAGATTCAAATCTTTGACTTCCTTCTTTTTAAGAAGAGAGAGAACTAATATCCTGATAACCGAGTGCGAAGATCGAAAATGTGTAGGGTTAGAATCTTAAATTTTTCAATAAACATATTTTTACCGATTCCATCAATAAAATAATTATATTTTTACAAGAAGAATAACAGGGAAATATAATTTGAAATATTTACAATAGTTGACAGAGGATTAAATGCAGCTATTGATTATTAAATATACTTTATTTGCAATAATTCAAATTTAAATACGATAAGTAATTTGTTTTTCTCATTTCGACAAAAGATATATAGTACGCCACTGACTTCGAATAAACGCATTTATTCTATTATTTAATCAAGTTAAACGAAGCCATCAACAATACTTTATATGGCAACTCAGTGTGATTCCAGATGAGTTCTAAATAAAGATTTTACCCAGAAAAATCTATACCTCCGTTGGTTGTAGTTGTCATAAATTTTGTTAGCTTTTTGAGATTATTTATTGTGAATTGGGATACTTAGATTAATTTTGAGATTTTTTTCTTATCCAGAATCACTTTGTGGTTAATCTTAATCAGGTTAAGAGCCTGCATTCCTCTAAAAACCCACACCTTGCAAGAAACTACTTGGGATAATAGAAATTCCTTGGGTAACAGACCGACTATTCCCATTTGGTTTAAATTAATTACTTAAATAAATATTCAAATTAATTTGCTTTAATAAAATGAGTTGCATATTAAAGAATGGTGGTTCGATATTACGCTTTTTATATGGTCTTTAGAGAGTTGAAGTGATGCTATGCACGTAAACGTGTACGTGAAAACTGACATATGCGCATGCGTTTTCAAATATCCTTCACGTTCACGTCTACGTAAATACGTAAGCTTACGGGCTCTGGCGTATGTACGTAACGCAAACAAAATAACCTCTTTTTAATTGGGAAAGAAGAAATCCTAATATTAATTGTCATTATCTGTCATGGCACGTAAATGTCACGATGCGTTTAACAACTTCAACCACATACTTTGATTTTCTTTTACTATACGGAGAATGGTCGCACTGCGCAGCTTTCTGAGTGCCTTTTAAAATGAGATAGAAAACTCCGCCATTTTGAACCCTTATTACGTGTTGCCTACATCTTGGCGCAATATTTTTAATAGGTGCGTTTTAATCATCCGCTTCCGCTTCGGAATTGTCGGTTTTCTTGTTTTAATCTGACAGGTTAAAACGACTAAACCGACAATTCCGGAAGCAGAAGCGGATGATTAAAACGCACCTGATATTTTGCATGCTGCTGTCAGTGTCAGTGAATATTATTTTTGAAGTCACAGTTTATTGCTAAAGAATCAGTTAGCTCACTCGGACCAGTTGAAAGTTCCAAAATAACATCCACTCCAGGGATATAAATTCAGGATACGCAGAAGACTGCTGTTTTATTATAGGCGGTTGTCATATATTGTATTATCCGAGTTGCACAGTGTATAAACTGAAACATTGAGATCCAAAGTGCCGACGCAGAGTGAGCGATCTTATTCTTTAGCTGTAAACTGTGTCACAGGGTTCAAAATGGCCGCGCCCTATGTTGGGCGTGTCGGACCTCTCTCTTGCCTCATATAGTAATCAAAGTATGTGGTTTAACAACTTAAACCACATACTTTGATTTTCTTTTACTATACGGAGAATGGTCGCACTGAGCAGCTTTCTGAGTGCCTTTTAAAAGGAGATAGAAAACTCCGCCATTTTGAACCCTTATTACGTGTTGCCTACATCTTGGCGCAATATTTTTAATATGTGCGTTTTAATCATCCGCTTCTGCTTCGGAATTGTCGGTTTTCTTGTTTTAATCTGACAGGTTAAAACGACTAAACCGACAATTCTGGAAGCAGAAGCGGATGATTAAAACGCACCTGATATTTTGCTTGCTGCTGTCAGTGTCAGTGAATATTATTTTTGAAGTCACAGTTTATTGCTAAAGAATTAGTTAGCTCACTCGGACCAGTTGAAAGTTCCAAAATAACATCCACTCCAGGGATACAAATTCAGGATACTCAGAAGATTGCTATTTTATTATAGGCGGTTGTCATATATTGTATTATCCGAGTTGCACAGTGTATAAACTGAAACATTGAGATCAAAAGTGCCGACGCAGAGTGAGCGATCTGATTCTTTAGCTCTAAACTGTGTCACAGGGATCAAAATGGCCGCGCCCTATGTTGGGCGTGTCGGACCTCTCTCTTGCCTCGTATAGTAATCAATAGGTTATTTCGTTCGTCCCATTGGTGTAGTTGGGTGTAGTAATGAACTACACCAATCCACACACATACATTTCGTTTGGTCCGGTGTAAAACCCACTATACCTTCCTGTCGGCGATGTGGTGTACACTGGTGGATATTTTCTCCACCAGCTATTTAGCAGGAGTGAATTACACTCGACGATGTATATAAGGAATAAGGAGGAAGTAAATTAGGGTAAATAAGGTGGTGTAACTGGTGTAATTTACACTGGTGGACACTACACCAATAGCGAACGAAAGAACCTAATGTATGTGACTTCAACTCATATTTTGGACTTCAACGTAAACATTATTTTTCTGCATTGACCTTCACGTTTACGTTAACGTACTGGAACCACTTCAACCACAAAGCATGTATCTTCTAGAGACCCCACGCCAATGTTAAACTTTTAAACCAAATTAGCGCCACCTTGTGTTTGGAGCTGGAACTAAAATGACAATTGACAGATGGCGGTAAATTCAAATTGTAATTTTTAAGAGTAGGTAGTAGTTTTAAATTAAATTTTAAATGATTTCCACATAAATTATTTTATAAAATAAAGTATGGAACTAGTAAGTTCGAAACTTTTATTTTACAAAATAATTTAGGTCGATTATACCAAATTTGAAGAATTAATTTGTTATAAGGGGTCTAATGTGGAGAGTTGGTTCTGCATATTTTTATTAAATAAATATAAGATATATCAATAAATAATAAAATAGAACATTCTTAAAATATGTTTATTAATAACTTAAATAAATATTATTAGATAAAAATAAATACAAATAATAATACATATTTAACGAATACTTACTTGGAGCAAATAGATATATAATCTCAAATCTTTAAAATAGGTACCTATCAATAATTTAAATGTGAAGTAGAGACTAGGATATTACATTTTATTAACACTAAAGTTATATATTTTATAAATGTCTTTTTAACTGAGGACAAATGTAATATAGGTATTGTATTAAAAGGTGAATCCTTTTAACTATTCATTCAATGATAAATAGGTATTTTCCTTCCAAATACAGATGGTGGTATTACTCTCTTATGTGAAAAATGATTTCGGAATCTAGTCCAGTGATAAATTGATTATCAATTAGTTGTTGTCCCCGTTTGTCTTTTTATGATGCAGATGCATGGTGAATATATGGTGAATCAATGAAGTTTTTCTCGAAGTTTTCAACGTAGCACCAAAATTATTGCAAAACACAGTAGGAAATAAAAAAGCGAAACATCACAATTTTGCAAATAACTAAGACGAAACTATAAACAGAAACCAAAAGCCAAAGCCAACAAAAAATCACTAAAATCAGACGGAAAAATGAAACTAACCAAGAACATAAATAAATACACGTCACATCTTTGGAGTCTTTGGTTAAGTTTTTCTCCCATAAGGCTTAAAAATGGAGTAAGAATTCATAATTTCACCAGTAGCCCCATTTAGAGTTTGGAGCAAATAGCATAAAAAATGTCAGTTGTCGGTTTTGACCTTGGTCATTCACGTGGAACCTCTATGTGCTTTGTGACTTCAACTCTCTATTATAAAGTTAGTAATACGTGATCTCAACATATGGAGTCAAAAGATAATTTTTAAATATAAATACTAAGAAAATATTAATAGTAGGAGAGCCAACTGCAAATTTCGGCTGTCATCCAATAACGAAATTGCTCCAAAGGCATGTAACAACATTACACTTTAGCAAACGGCACCTGTGTTAATCACTAATAAAAGAAAAATTATTTTGTATTTAAAAAATATCACATAAGATATTACAGCGTTAATTTTGTTTGCCATGATAATTGCAATCCTAATTCATTGTGAACCTACCTCTTAAACCTGAGTTATTACTATTATTTTTACCTACCTTTTAAACCATGGTAACGTTAAAGAAAGAACGATTTATCATAGATAGTCAATAATAATAATTATAAACTCTTGTTAGACAATTTTTTATCCCATAATCATAGTAGTATCTTCTTCTAAATAATTAATAATATCGCAGCTTGGTTCGTGGTATTATTGTGTCAACTATCTACTTATATCACATTTTGCTGAACTGGTAAATCTATAAATATAATTCGAAGATGTAAATAATTGAATATTTTTATTTATTTGCATTGCGATTATTTTATTATCTGAAATTTACTTGGAATCATAAGCGACAAATATAAACAAACGTGATATGTTTTTATGATGTCTCCAAGCATAAAATTTTAAATAGTTTTTTGCTAAAATTATAATAATATTTATTTTATAGAATTTGATTTGACTACTTAATATTTTAATTTATTATAATTCCTGTATTGGTATTGATCGTATTTTATTTTTAAAGAAACACAAAAAATTGCATATCATACGAGGATGGGATGAAAAGTTTCACAATAGTGACTGAATAAGAATTTATTTTTCTACATAGTCCCCTTGTAGGGTAATACATTTGACAGGTAACTTTTCATCCCATCCTCGTAGTTGGCAGGCACAATGAATATGAGGTAAGAGTGAAGGTCCTGAAATAAATTATTTTTTTAATGGTATTTTTTATATAATTTCAATTAAATGAAATATAAAAGCGGTTGACTTTTCTGCGCAAAATCCATCCAATATTTTACCTGTAAGCTGTAAGTTAGGAGTTGTAGAATAGAAATGGTTTTAAACATTTTTATAATTATTTTTAGTTTGTAAAACATAGATAGTGTAAGTTTTTAAATTATCACTCCGTATTACACTTACACACCAGGTCTGATAACAAATGGAAGCGCAAATATTGAAACGCCATTTTTAATTTAACAATTTATATTTCTATATTTACATTTGCACGTCTCCATTAAAAACGACAGTCTCTTCAACCATTTCATCGCCATATTTTCTACACTGGCAACTGAATATATATCCGAAAAACGTTTTGAAATTTTTATCACACTTATACAACACAACGAAAAAGTAAATTGGATTCATCACAGCCAAAATTAGACTAATATTAATTAAAATAAGGGCAGTTACGTGTTCTATTCTAGTTATAAAATGTATCATTATCACTGTCAACATCGGTACTATTGAAAAGAAGAAAACGTTACATAAAATCAGGGGAATATTAGATATTACGGTAGTTTGGATTAGTTTCCGTTTTTTAATAAAATGAGTGATATTCATAATAATCATAAATACAATAAATATTAAGTATAAAAGTAACAGAACTAATTCCGATAAAGCTAGATATCTTCTGTTAATGCATCCCTCTAAATGCACCGCTAGAGCGAATATTAAAAATAAATAGAAGATTCCTAGAGCTACACGAATGTGTTTCTCGAATTTGACGCATTTTGTTGGATAGTACACCTTTAGGAACCAGTAAATAAACAGCAACTCAATCAGTAGAACGTTTCCAGTAAGAGCTGTATATTCGGCCTGCTCAGCTATGCAGAACATAGTGCTGTTCCAAGTATCTGTCCAGGAGAACGAAATTCTAAGAGTCGGCGGTTGAGTTATCATGAAAAAAGTATTAAGTACTGCCCAATTTAATAATATCACATTCGCCTTATCATTTCTAAGTCGTCTGTATTTGGTAATAACGTAAATTATGAGGATATCGGCAGCTAAGCACACCAGAGAGAGCACTGTGTACAGTTCTAAGAAAATTCTGTAAATTAAAGTCATTTGTTGTTCGTAAGCGCTGTAATATTCATCAAAATCTGTAGTTGTGGTTGGTACGTCCGTGGTGTTGTATAGCGTTTCGTCCATATTCTGCAATTAAAAATAAAAAATAATTTACAGAGTGTTTCATTGGGAAAAGGAAATATTTTAACCCTATATAGAGGTCACCCAGCGTACTTTATAACCAAGTTAGAGGGTATTTTTTAAATTTGAACCATTTCTTTCGTGCTCCATAACTATGGAATCACTCAGAATATTATTTTAAATCCACCAGGTATATTATTTAGTATTAATACTGTACTTTTAATAGTGTTTAGACTTTTATTACTTATTGTGCGGGAATTTCAGCTCAATAACAATGACGTGTAATTTCAATAACATTTTTACACGTATACAAAACTTTTATCTACATAAATCAGAAAATTACAGGGTCGAATTAGGAAATTGTCCTTACAGTTTTCGAAACCCGTAAATTGGCTAATTTGAATCATAATTTAATGAGCCAACTGTAAGATCACGATCATGAATAAATCGTACGCCAAAATGTCGCAAGATATAAATGAAGATGACCTTAACCACTAACGAAATTATAATTGTGCGATTTTTTACAAATGCTACACATTTCTTGAAAGTATGCAAATCAATTCCGTGTATAACAATTTTTGAAAATCTGTAAATGACTACCAATTCCTCTGACAAAATAAAGAACGCATTCTTTTTAAAACATTCTCTTCTTATATTTTGGCCCCAAACTATATGACCTAATTACTTTAAATAATAACTAACTTTATTTTATTTTACCCTTCTTTGAGATTAGGAAGTGACTTTGTTTTTTCAGTTACTTTTATCTATGTTTAAAATTGTATTTCTAAATTCTTTAATTTTGTTTCTATAATATAAACTTATAGAATGAATAAATTTGATTTGGTTTGTTGTTCACAACCTTGAGGTGAAAATAAACCAAAGAAAAATTGAAAAAGCGATGTATTCAATGTTTCTTTTTCAATTTTAATTTTGTTGTATTTAAAATGTCATTCTCATCTGTCTGTAATAATCATAAACATCTTGTAATAATTAGAGCTAGGAATATATGCAAAACGCCATATTTTGCATATGTTGCATATATATACAATTTTTGATTTTGAATGCATATATTGACAATTTGTTAATTTTTTGGCATATATCTGACGTACTAATTAGCTGGACATATTAAAATTATGAGTTTTGGACCAAAATAATATTTTGTAAAATGCCTTTACAGGTCGATTTCCTAAAATTTTGAAGGATTCAATTTTCCCTGTAATAAATTACGGTTAATGGTGTAGGTACTTGAGATGATTAAATTATAAACACCCTCCTTAAACCAAAAAATTTTGTTAAATATCCTTTCAGGTAGTTGTATTAATATCTTCAAATTTCTAAATGACTCAGTTTACTTTCAACTTCATTTCAGTCTTTATTGTTGTGTTGTGTTAACCAGTGGGAAAAATGGCAAAATTAATTGAATAGTGGGTAAAATCTTATTCAGATTTTGTTGTAGAAGGTGATAACCAGGTTTTTTGTAAAACATGTTCTAAATTTGTAAGTACTTTTTTATTTTATATTTTATTTTGACCTTTCACAATGGTAAATCAAACGACAATAAAATATTATTTCAACTCACAGTTAAAAAAAAAGTAGGGCAACTTTACAACGTACGCATTTATTTAATTTAATTAAAACTCCAACATCTACAGGAATTTATTTGTTTTAGATTCCATGTAAAAGAAGTTTCAAATCGACCAACACGCGAAAACACCCTCACATATAGCAAAGCAGAAATCTAAATACACTCGCAGACAAAGTCAACTTCCCTTGAAACAATATTTAGAATCTGGATCGTCTAGAAGTGAACAAGCTATTTTTAATGAAGTTTTATGCAAAGCTTTAATGACTCCGAATATCCCTTTAATACGATTAAATAATCCAAATCTCCGATCATTTTTGCAAAAATACTGTAAATTTAATATTCCAGACCAAAGTATATTACGCAAACGTGGTGTTGACAGTTTGTACATTGAGACTCGTGAAAAAATTCGTGAGATTACCGTTGGAAACCATTTCTACATTATTGTGGATGAAACAACAGACTCTTGTGGTCGATATATAGCCCATTTAATGATAGGTTCATTACGCGAAGAAATGCAAATTGGTCCATATCTAATCGCTTCAAAGCAATTAGATAAAACAAATAACTTGACAATAACTCGTTTTATCCAGACATAATTGTTTCCCTTTTTTCTTCTGGAAGCCGTTCCAACAGAAAAATGTTTATTGCTGTTATCCGATGCTGCCCCGTATACATGGTAAAAGCCGCACAAAATTTAAAAATGTTTTATGAATACTTAATCCATGTTACATGTTTGGCTCATGGCCTTACAGAGTTGCAGAAGGAATTAGGTCTAAAATTCCTTTAATAAATGATTTAATTAGTAATGTAAAAAAAATATTTCTTAAAGCTCCTCTAAGAACTCAATTGTACAAAGAAAAATTTCCTGAATTACAGATGCCACCGGAACCTGTGATTACTCGGTGGGGTACCTGGCTTAAAGCTGCCTTTTTTACGCAGATAATTATGAAAAAATTAAAGAAATCATATTTGATTTTGATGATTCATCTAAGGGAATATCTAATACAAAGAAGTTATTTCAAAATCACATATTACCAAAGCAATTAGTGTTTTTAAAAAATTATGCATTTGTACCCAAAATTATATTAGATTTAGAACAAAAAAATTTACCTTTGGTGACTTAAATTTAATTAAGACGTTTGAATCAGAGTGTAAAAATGTCCAGGGCGATATTGGAAAGACGATTTTTCATAAATTTTCAAATGTAATTTTAAAAAATGAAGGATAATATTGCTAATATTTATTCTGGTAACTTTGAAGATATTAATACTATTCATCCAGATATTTCAAGAAAATTTAAGTTTGCACCTATTACTTCTGTAGATGTCGAAAGGAGTTTTTCTTTGTACACGTACATACTTACTGATCAATCAATCATTTAATACAGAAAAACATCTAATTGTTCATTCGTTGTTCATTTGATTTGTAAATAAAATTAGTTAATAATTAAATAATTATTAAGTATTATATTAGGTATTGTAAGATAAAACAAATAATAAATATTAATAAACTATTTCGATTAAATAACAAATTACTCTTATTGCATATGCTCTGCGTATTTTTCAATTTTTTAAGCATATATTGAAGTATTTTGCGGCATATATATGCGCATATTTAACTACTTTTTAGGTGCATATATTCCTAGGTCTAGTAATAATTAATAACTAATTAGAGTGATATTGAAAAGTGGTTAGATATTGAAAAGTGGTTAGATATTGGAAAGTATGAAAACCATGTAGTAATAACATAGGTACTTGAAACGGTTAATAAAGTAGAATATAATGATTAACTATTTTAGTTAAAGAATAACAAATAATAGTCGCTTCATTTAATTGTCGTAAACATACTTTTTTTCCTCAAGCAGGACACCAAAGTATCATTAACGTCTATCTCTCCAAACAAGAACATTAATAATTTGGCGTTAATTCTAGCTCCAGGCTATTTTTAACTAAAACTTGTACAATTAGAAAGACATATACAAAAAAAAAAAGAGAAATTACAGAGTGAAACCTGACATCTTTCACGTTGACCTCTACTAAAAATAAATCATCGTGAATGTATTAAATAAATTTCTATTTCGTAAAAAATGATGACAGAAAAGCGTAAAAGAATTTTTTACGTGTCCATTGTAACACCCGAAAATCCGACACGGCTTTGTCTCTTTTGTGTCCGATTCAATTTAAAGAATAATAATTACACGTTATTCGAGACCATGAGGGTTGGAGCAGAGTTTTCTATAGCACTGTTAGGTATAATTAGGATCATCTTCTGTCTCGTTAAAAAGTATTTTCCAGTTAAATATATTTCTCTTGTGCCCACGGGGTCGATAATTTATATGCTTTAAGACCTTGATAGGACTTTATTAATACAAATTTACGATATTTTACAGAAAACCTGATTATATGACATTAAATAAAGCAATAGATAAATTATTAAAATTATATTTTCCGATTAATCTTCTAGGTAATTAGTATTTTATGAATATTGAGGATAAGCAAACATAAACAAACTTTAATTTTATCAATAATATAAAAAAAACAATCCGAATAGTTTAATTTTACCCATGACAAACAAAATTAAAAATGATTTTAGACTTACTTACCGAACGGTCAAATTCCACGACAACAAATAAATGCACTCTACACAACGGTGACCATATTACACATTCATCCTAAATATTTTGGATTGCAAACACATGGTGGTTCAACATTAAAATAGATAACTTATTTTGTTAATTTAATAACAACAATAACCGTAGATTACGAGACTCCTACTATCAACAATGTTTATGAAGGTCATAAGCTAGATTAGTCTGTGATTAGTCTACAGAGACGGAGTGGTCCATATTTTGTATTTTTATGCATTCGTTATTCTCTATATTTACCGGTGTGAAGTTAGCAGCCACTTTCCAGCAGCCCGTTTACCGGAAACACCCGAGTTACCAATGGCGTCGAAATGTATTTTTCTGTGTAGTTAACGGTGTATTGAAATAAAATTACTACTAAATTTTTAAGAAACAAATAAAAAGTGTCTAGAGAAAGGATTAAGGGGTAAACTGAAATTAAAATCCAATAAAAAATTCATTCAAAAATTTTTCTATAAAGATAACAGAATATTGAAATAAAAATAGTGTCAAATTGTCAAAAACTATAAAATATAACCTAAAAAAATTAACAAATCTTCTTAGGCAAATTAATTTTTAAATAGATTTTTAATGGAATTTTATTTAATTTGACCCCCTCATCCCCTTCCTAAATAATTTTGTTAAATTTTTTAGGTTGTATATTATAGTTTCTAACAATTTGGCACTAGTTTTATTTCAATACTAGATTGTCTTCTTAGGCAAATTAATTTTTAAATAGATTTTTAATGGAATTTTATTTAATTTGACCCCCTCATCCCCTTCCTAAGTAATTTTAAT